ATTGATTAACAGTTAATGGTTCTCCAACGTCGATCTACAGTTCAAAGCGACAGTTTATATAAATTTATACCACCGACTGTTATTACAGGCGGCAGCGAATCGATATCTCCTTCAGCACCTATCTAAAGATAAAACGATTCCTAGAAAATGGTGGCTTTCGAATTTATTACAGATTTGAGTCTGTCTTAGGTGTCACAGTCTTATCGGATTTACTTAGCGGATCCAAAAGTAAATAAAGGATCGATGGAAATAATCTGATATATAGATTCCAGTGCAGTGCTACGACAACGTGTACATCAAAAAGAGCTGACATAACAGTTGCAGAACTTCTTGAAGATTTGAAAATGGAACGTTCTAGCAGTATTTCACATGCTTTCACCTGAAGACTCTCGTTTAATCCGACGAATGTGGCTTACTTGGCTACGACAGGATGAGTAGAAGTTCTTACAAGGGTGGTACCCATTTATCTACCTCAAAAGAGGAAAGGCGAGTGAACTGTCATGGCCCGAATTCGGTATCTTTCAGTTCTGAGTTAGGCCCTTTACCAACTACGCATCTAAATTTAGCGTGTGCTAAATTCCTTGTTCACGGAAATTCAAGAATGAGACAAAGATTATCCTCCATCGGAATCAACTCAGAACTTTCAGGTTCGAAGCAGACCTCTGTGCCGCCAGTTCATAATTCACTGATATTCGATTGACGTGAAACAGTTGCAGCTAAGTAGAAATAATCTCTAGTGGAAATTTTCAGAATTTTTTGAAGGCGGCTCAAATACTGTGATATGCATAGTCAGTGAAACCAATGAACAGCAGATCGGCAAGAGTGATTTTGAACAAATTGAGCGGCTTTTGGTGCCTTTGTTTCTTATATAAGTTTTTCTTCGGTTACACTGTGATGTATAAACTCAGTCTAGAGGTTTTATTTGCGAAATAATGAAAAAGTGCTTTTTGCACCTTTTCTTTTTTTGATATTATATTTGGTATATGCTAATTTCTGACGTTTCACTCCTATTTTAAGATAGAATTAAGTATGACCTGTTTTAACGCTGTAATTTTTCTCTGTTGAATTTCGTATTCGTCACAAAAATTTATGATGTTGCTAATTTAATTTATTTATTAAATTTAATAATTTGTTATTAATTTAATTAAGTATGCATATAGATTTAATTTTTGTTTATTTCATTCTGAAAATTTATTAAACTTGGTTTGTTTGCGCAGTAACTGTCGCGAGTTTAATGTCTGTATGATTTTAGTGTTTAAAATTGTGGTGTTTAACCCTTTTTGTAGACCTA